ACAAACATCAACAACCGGTGAATGTTCGGAGCTGTTTTTTTGTTGCGTGCTGTGGGTTTCGTGACAACGGAGATGGAATAGCCTATAAACGCACAATTTATGCGATTGAAAGAACATGAAAATCTACTAAATCTCCTATGACAATTTGTAGTGTTATCATCGAGGCTGAGAAAAGAACACAACGCTGCAGACAACAGGTAAATGCCATAATCGCTGTTTTCCCTGTTCGTGGAGTAGCCTAAATATTTTTACGTGGCTTTTTAAAAATGCACTGTAGCCGGTGTTTCGAATGCGTTTGGCCAATCCGCGCTGCTTTCAGATTAAAGAAAATAACTGGTAACTGGATTGAATAATTATCACCATTGTTTGTTCAGTAACAGGAGGCCTTAAGCTTGTACAGAAAACCCATTAACAATGAAAACAAAGTATTTATAATTATTAATACATTTTAGTATAGGTTACAATTAGACTTGTACATGCCTGAAAGAAAGAAAGAAAGAAAGAAAGGAAGAAAGTGTAAAAATGAATGGCTACTGGTAGCTCTTCTTCCTGGTTGTTAATTTGCCGGTTGATAACAAACCCACTACGGAGCGTCCGGTTAGAGACTTTACCACAGATGATCAGGTATGCGGGAATAACCCATTTATTGTCACCACAAACTCAGTACACTGAAGAAAATTAGTTCTTCATGTTTGTGTGGTTTTCTACAAATTAAAGATAAAAGAAAAATATATAAGTGCAAATAACAAAGGTCACAATAAATATAATAACACAATATTTGCACAAAGAATATATTAAATACAGTGATTAAACATTCAAATAAGAAAACAAATGTGCCATTATATGGGAAGATGCGCTGCTAGAAATGACTAATAATGCGCAGTTGAAATATGACACCTCTCAGCGCTGAGGACAGAGATGGAGCCGCTCTTGTCTAGAACATTAGTGCGCATGCGCCGAAAGAGTGCTTTAACTCTCAGAAATGAGCGATACATATTAAATATATATATTAAATAAACCATATGATGATTAAATGGCAGATAGATTATGTCTTCTAAACATAACGGTAATATATGTGAGGAAACTAGTACGTAAACACACACGAACATCTTCCACGCTAGGTCGTCTTTGTCACTCGCATACATTAACTTATAAACACTCGGAGCAGTTAAATGTTCACAAACAATGCAGAAAGCAATGGATGAACAGACTGTTACTTACTTTATAGGCACGCATACAACTTTAGCAAAGATAAATCGCTATAGTACTGCTAGCATCCGTCCGCTTTCCCGATCGTTCTAACTCAGTTCAGTGGGCGGGACCGCTGACCTGCGCATCCTGCCCGGAGCGCTGATTGGCTCGCGGGATGGATGCTGCGTCTGAGTCGACTGTAGTGTATTGCAAGGGAAACTAAGACACATGAATATAACCTGTGTGTGGCCTTTTTTACAGAAAGAAAGAAAGAAAGAAAGATTCTCCGGTTCGCGTTTTTGTGTGCTTTGGTAAAGCATATGGGTTTTCTGCCTATGAAGAATTCGCGTTCAGACCAAAGTTATAGGTTATAGCTTTTAATTATATTTTCATTAACTTTTCATAGGCCTATTTATTATAAACCTGCCAGTTTAGTTTCCATTTTTATTTTGCTTTCACATTAATGGTCTATTTCTGTTTACATTTTTTTTATTTCAGTATTTTAATTTGCTAATGAAGTTTTTTATTTATTTATTTTTAACATATTTAACGATATAAAAAGTATGTATTCGTTTACCCAGAAATGTCAAACTTTTCACATAATTAATCCTCACATCGTTCCAAAGCCGGGGTTTCCTAAACAATCGCTAGCCAAATATGCTGGCAATATCAACCAATATGGTGACAATATGGTGGCCACGATTTGCGAACAGAAGAGAACGAATTGATAAAAAATCTGCTTAGGTTACAGTTAATTTAAAGCAATGGTAGGCTATAGTTATTAAAATGTGCAGGCCTATTAATATAGAGGTAACGACTTTTTAATTTGTGGCCATAATTTTTCCCCGCATGTCATGTGCGGGGCATGAGATCGGGTTGGCGGGGCTCAGTAGCAAGATTTTGGTTTATTTGTGTGTATGCGCGCGAGCGCACTTGTAGGCCTAGTCAGTTTTGTCTACAGCACTCAGCTGCTCCCACCCACTCACTGCTGAGGAAACTTCATTTTTAGATGTTGCGTACCTACTATCTTTACTACTATATTAGTAGTCATTGAAGACCGTTTTTTTCTGGGTCACGTCCTGATCTCACTACAACTGCCTCAGCTGTCAGCACTCTACTGTCTCTACTGTTCGACAATACTTTAATAATAACAGCAGCGTATATAGTGTAAAAATGTTTTAAAACATTTTTCGTTTTCAGGATTGTCAGTTTGATTCATTTTAGTTTTTCAATATTTTTATTTTTATTTTATTTTTTGTAGTTTTAGTTTTTTTTTTAGTTAGCTACATTTTACGTTTACATTTCACTATTTGCTAATTTGCTAATGAAGATATGTTTAACGCTGCAAAATATGTTTATTACTTAAACCAAAAAAAAAACAAAAACAAAAAAATACAAATCTTGTTATCATCATGTCGTTCCAAAGCCGGGGTGCGTTTTCCTAAAGCATCGCTAGCCAAATATGCTTGCAATATTTAGTCTACCAAATGTGGCAATATAGCTTTCAGTGTATTCACAGGTTTATGGCTTTCAAGTCACAATCTGCCCGACTCACTCAGGATGGAAGCTCAGGAAAAGAGGAAGAATTGTGACTAAACCTTACAACTTACTAAAACATTACAACTGATTGTCAGAAGACCACTTGTAGGCTATCCTTGTAGCAAACAGGCATTGATCACTTTGGCACATAACCTCCCGTATATATAGGGGAGAAAAAGAAATGGTGGCCAAGAATTATGAATAATGCACATTTTATTAAATTGTTCAGCTGTTCAGTTGACAGGATAAAGCTCACAGTTCATTTGTGTGTGAATGCGCGTGCAAGTCAGTTGAATTCATAATTAACAAAAAGAAAAAAAACATTATAGCCTATATTGTTGCCTTGAATTTGATAAAATTGTGTATTTGTATTTTATAAATATAATTATGTGGAAGGAAAAAGAAAAGACATTCCCAGTATATTATTTTTAGAAATATACAGCTGATGGCCATAGGCTACATTTGATTAGAATGATGATATGACTATTAAAGATATTTCAGGACAGATAGAGATATATTATTGACCTTTAAATTTGACTCACAAATGCAAACATTTTTAACAAAGCTTTGCTCGTGCCAACAACCCAAAGCGCATTATTTCGTTGACGCCATCATTCATTTTTAATTATTTCTAAAGGAAAGGAAAGGACGTGTGGCCAAGTATGGTGCCCCATACTTGGAATTTGTGCTCTGCATTTAACCCATCCAAGTGCACAAACACAGCAGTGAGTAGTAAACAAACACGCACACACACACCGTGAACACACACCCGGAGCAGTGGGCAGCCAATGCTGCGGCGCCCGAGGAGCAGTTGGGGGGTCGGTGCCTTGCTCAAGGGTCTCACCTCAGTCGTGGTATTGAGGGTGGAGAGAGCGCTGGTAATTCACTCCCCCCACCAACAATCCCTTCCGGTTAACTTTTCAACATACGTATACAATATAAATATTAGCATTTTTTGATCACTGTCTTTCTGATAACATCTTTCTACAATATTCAGCTGATGTGCTGCACGGAGAATTTTTGCTAAAATACAATGTTATTGCATTATTGTGCATATGATGCGTGACAAAAAGACAAATGCTTACACGGCCCTGATTCTACTGCAATAATGCATGTCATTCGGAATTTGTAAAATACATATTTCGTTATTTACTTTAATCATGGATCATAACCAATTTAATTATACACACAAATGAGCCTACACGCAAAACTGCAGCAGCTCTTTCATTTATAGCCTACCGGTGTCCAGCGAATCCTCTGTTCTCTCCCCATCGTCCAAGAACTCTGCCTCTATTTCCTCTTCCTTTCTTTAGACTCCAGGTCTAGTCAATTTGCAGTTCCAAATGCCCTCCATCTTGTCCGTCAAAAGTTCCCATGGGTCTGAAATGAAATGTGTAAAGTTTTAGCAATAATTCTCCAGTTGTCATTGCATCTTTAATAAAAAATATAACACAATTACACTTTAAAATCTTGAGCTTTTCACTAACTGACAAATATGCCTTTTAGATTTCATCTTTACTTTAAAAGCTTCGGAAACCTAAATTCAACAAGAAATCACACAGTCTGCCAACATTGCGTGTATTTTTACTAAATGTAAATAAATAAATAACAAATTAAATAAATTAATTGGAAAATTAAAACCTAAGACCTTGATGAAAGGCAACAACTCAGAGGATTCAATGCAGCATCTAGGAGGCTATAAGTTGGAAAGCTAAATTGTTATTTTTTGACCCTGCCTGGTTACAGGCAGGCTGATTTATTCTTGATAGAAGGTTTTTGAAATCAATTGGCCTTTCTAGCGCGAAAACCCCCTCCTTTCCTCTCACTTCTTCTTTTTTTGTGGGTCGAGACACTGCGGGTAGCCAGCTCCACATCTTAGTCAGTCACGCCAATGGAGTGCCGCAGTCCGAAGCTCTGCATCTTTTCCGCCTGTATCAGTGAGTGTTGGAAAGCGAGGACGCTCACATTCGTAACAGCAGCGATCCATTCCGATGGCCGGTTTTAGAGTATTAGTATTTGTTATTCTTGCAAAGTCTGCGAGATCTAACGGTAAGTTATTCCACTGTAACAAAGATTTGTTTGTTCTTAAAATCTAAGCGTGGTGAACTCCGTACACTGATCATTATTTAGTTTAAACATCGCTAATGAATCTTAAAGGAATATAAAACCAGCGTGTAATTAAATAGGGTTTTGTACTTCTCACCAGAATGCCCTGCAAATCAGGAAATATCATGCGAAAACCTGCGCTCGTCCAATAGATACATATATACACTGTGCCACTGGAGATCCCGTGCTCTGAAAAGTGCGAACAAGGATGGTACTATCAGGTGGGAACGTTTGATGTTCTGAATTTAATTGTTATAGGCTCTAGTTATCATTTAAAACAGCCAAATGTTTAGTAACTCCTCGGTTTGCTGTTGTCTGTATAGAATGGGACGTTTATTGTCGACTCAACTCCGAATGCCGGTGGAAGGAGGTTACCGGTTGTAGTGGATGTAACGCCTCAGAATCTGACAATCCGTGTCTGCGAGAATCTGCAGTGGCAACTTGACTGTGGCAAGGTAGTAATGAGTGTTGGTTTCATTTACACACAATAAATAAGCCTGTCTGTGCGGCTCTAAATGCAGTGCTACATTGTCAAGCCTTTACAGACCAGGTTCTAAAATAGTATTTTCTTTCTGTTACAGTGTAACTGTATTATCAATTATACAGGTAAGCATTATGAAGCCTCAACATACATGCTCTAGAAACTAATACTTTTCAAATGTATATTAAGTATGCTTTTGTTTGTCTAATTTGAAACATTCAGCAGCAAGTGACCTGCCAAGAAATAATGGTAAAGGCAATGGTTTACCCTTTAGAAGTCTTTCGAAGTCTAAAGTTTTGATACTATTTCACCTTACAAAAAAAAAAAAAAAAACACTCCCGTTATACTTTTTACATGTAT